GAAAGAAAGCTAGCTCAAACCTCAAAGAACTCTGTGCTGCTTGCTCAAACAACAGAGCCAAAAAAAAAAAGAAAAAGGAAGAAAGAAAAAAGAAAGAAGGCTGAAGGCTGAAGACTGAAGAAAGAAAAAGAAATTGACAGCAATGGTCGAAGAAAAAAAATGGACAACAGAAACTAGAAGAAAAGAGAAGAAGAAATGGACAACATATCTGATGTCGCTGGTGAACGAAGAAGAAGATGAAATCCCAAGCCCTAGTATTTAGTTTATTGATCGAAAAAACAAATGGCGTTGATGGTTGTTGAAGGAGAAAGAAGTAACAAACCCAAGCCCTAATTTGTATTTTAATCGGTGTTTGGTGCTGCCTTATCTTTCTTTTTTTTTTTTCAAAAAGCACTGCTACACATCGCCTCGCGCATCACAACGCCTCTCGCTACATAGGCAGAGGCGCTCGCCTTTCTGAAATCGCCACACAACAGAGCAAAATGGCGCCGGTAGCTCGCATCGCATCGCCTCACGCTATTAGCGCTGAGGCGAGCGCTATTTACAACACTGTTTTTCACTCTGGCAGTGTTGGGTTTGGGAGTGGACGCGTTATGTTGATATGTTTAGGGTTGGGAAAGGGTTGCATCTGAGTGCAATTCTTGATTTCTTGTTTTATGGCTGGTCTTTATTTTTGTTTGTCTTTTTTCTTTTTCTCTGATTTGGTCTTTGCCCCTTAATATGCGAAAGATGCTATTGTGACCTCGGTTAGTTGGAAGTATAGCTCATTGGATAGGTATCGGGATGCACAAAGAAGGAGCACAATTGAACATGCTTTGCTAAACTATATTGCGTGGACTCTCCAAAATGCTGCCACACCCCTATCGGATCCTTCATAAATGCACTATTTTTGGAGGATCCGACACGCACCCGACGATATTTTCGGAGAGTCTGAGTAACATAGCCGCTAAATATGCATCCTCAAAGTGTACAACTGAGAAGAATGTTACTCACTGCTTCACTTTCTTCGTCTTTAAGTCATATTGTATCTGACATCATTTTAATAAAGAGGAATTAAAATTGGGAAATGGGTCAAATTTACTCTTCTTTGAAAAATAGTTTACATTTGACATCTGTTATACTTTTCAAACAAATTTGCCTCGCTGTTAGCCCTTTGTTCAAATATACCCCTTGCCTTAACGGAGCCAAGGGTACATGCAAAGTATAGGGGTAAATTTGTCCCTTTACGCGAAGTATAGGGATGCATTTCTCTCTTAGGTATTGATTCTTACCTTATCAAAATTTTCCTTTGTCATTGGTATAATTTTTCTTATTTTTCTTTCATCACATATTTCTTCGTGTAAAATCCTCGAGATAACTTACTTTAACTGCCTTCTAAAGTAGTTAAGCTTCAACTCTATTTAAGAAATTCGAAGTTAAGTATTGATCTAATTTTCTTCAAGTATATACTATAAAAATAAATAGTAAAATACTGTATTTTTATTCACCAAACAGATGCCTCTGCGTATTCATCCTCGAGGTTATTCCTTTGTACAACAAATCCTTCCAGAAGTGTATCATATCCCCATTACCTACTGTATAGCTAATGGTATGCCTATTCCTTCGTAATCCCTTCTGCGAATTCAACATGTAAGAATTTATTACTTCAAAATTCTATAGTTCAGTTCTCCATAAAGATCCGTGTTGTGTGATTTTGCAATGCAAGCTTACATATTGCAACAAGTAGTACGATAATGAATATGAGAGAGCTATGCGAGGAATTGATACACAATACCTGCAGAATACTAAATTCAGACAGTTTATACGGTGGAACTGAACTAGGCTAAGGGCAAATAATTAACAGACTTAAACAAACCAAGGATTAAACTACAAACAAAATAGTGTAGTATCATAACCTTACTTGTTAATTTATTATACGTGCATTATCTTCCTACTTAATTTTAATGACATGGATTATTGTGTTAGGTTTTTATTCAAATGTATATATGTATGCTAATTGAATTTGTCTTACCTATCCACTAGCTATATCCTTATGGATATTGAAATGAGTAAGATGTTCTAGGAATGAACCATGCCAGAACACCTACACTTTGCAAGCATTTTCTATATCTGAAACAAATCAACCATTCATTTGAAGCAATTGATATTGAGCATAGCTATTCGATTCTCTCAATCTAAAGTCCTGTATTTTTGTCTCTTTTCTACATCCTCAATCTCAAAATTTTCTTCTAACTCACCTCTTGTGCTGCCAGTGATATCCGCAGTTGCCCATTTCACTCATCCCTCCATAAATCTTCTATGAGAAATAATACACGGGAAAAATATTATTGATGTTTTAACTATGTTACACTGAGTCCTATTTATAAGTATACATACTATATAACCTACTCCTATAACATACAGGACTAGGACTAATTATATATATTCATATAACTATCTAACACTCCCCCTCAAGCTGGTGCATATAAATCATATGTACCGAGTTTGTTACATATATAACTAATACGAGGACCGGTGAGAGACTAGGTGAAAATGTCTACAAGCTGATCATTTGACTTCACAAACTTTGTAGCAATTTCTCACGAGAGTATTTTTTTTCTGACAAAGTGACAATCAATCTTAATGTGTTTAATTTTTTCATACAACACTGAATTTGATGCAATATGAATAGCAGCCTGTTTATCACAAACAAGTTCTATCTGTCTGATCTTACCCAATTTTAACTCTTTGAGCAACTGTTTGATCCAAATTAGCTCACATATTACCACAACCATTGCTCGATATTCTGCTTCTGCACTAGACCGAGCAACCACATTCTGTTTTTTGCTCTTCCAAGACATCAAATTACCTCCTACTAAGACACAGTATCCTGATGTTGAACTTCCATCAGAAGGTGATCTTGCCTAATCAGTATCCGAGTATCCAACGATCTGCTCATGGCCTCGACTCAAACAATGATCCTTTGCTTGGAACTAATTTCATATATCGAAGAATGTGGACAACTGTATCCCAATGACTATCACAGGGAGAATCCATAAACTGACTCAGACTCACAGAAAAGGAAATGTCAAGTCTAGTTACTGTGAGGTAATTTAATTTACCAACCAACCACCTATATCCTGTGGGATTGCTGAATGGCTCCCCCTGTCCTGCCAGAAGTTTAGAATTTGGATCCATTGGAGTGTTAACAGGTCTTCAACCTGTCATTCCTGTCTCTCTCGAGAATGTCTTAGGCATACTTCCGTTATGAGATCACAATACTGAGCTAGACTGAGCGACCTCCATACTAGAAAATACTTTAGTGTGCCCAGATCTGTAGCCTGAAAGTGCCGAAAAAGATGTTGCTTCAACTTAGTAATACCTTCTTGATCATTGCCGGTAATAACAATATTGTCAACATAAACGACCAAATAAATATAGAGAGTTGAAACAGAATGTCGATAAAACACAGAGTGATCAACTTCACTACGAGTCATGCCAAACTCCTGGATAACTATGTAACCTTACCAAACCAGGCTCGAGAAGACTGCTTTAGACCATAAAGTGACTGGCGCAAGCGACATACAAGGCCACTTGACTCCCCTTGAGCAACATAACCAGGTGGTTACTCCATATAAACTTCATCCTCGAGGTCACCGTGAAGAAAAAGATTTTTAATGTCCAACTAATAGAGAGGCCAATGGCGAACAATAGCCATGGGAGAGAAGTATCAAGTAATCGAGCCCAAATATCTAAGTATATCCTTTGGCAACAAGACGGGCCTTAAGTCTATCAACCTGGCCATCTAGACCAACTTTGGCTGCATAAACCTGACGACAACCAACAGTAGATTTACCTGAAGGAAGAGGAACAAGCTCCCGAATACCACTCATATGTAAAACAGACATCTCATCACTCACCATCCTGGATGAGATAGTGTTTTACCTGTAGAGTTAGGGAGGAAACAGAGGACAAAGAAAGTACAAAAGCATAATGCAGTGATAACAGACGATGATAACCAGTGTTATTAAAAGCGCTCACTTCTCGCTTTAAGCGTTGAAGCGACGCGAGGCGTAGGGCTATCGCTTTTCTGCTACAAAAGCGACTCACATTTAAAAAGGGCTCGCTTCTCGAGCTTAAGCGAGATGCGCCTCGATGGAAAAACAATAAAAAAGCGTGCTTAAGCGAGCAGAAGGCATCTGCTTGGGGTTTTTTACATTTTTTTGGCAAATAAGCCATCTGTTAACAAATAAACATACGCTCTTCAACGACTTCTTCTCCAGCGAACTCCAGCGACGATGAAGTCTCCAGTTCTTCTTCTTTTTTCAATTTTTTTCACTTTTTAAGCGCTGATTTTGTGCCCTAAACGACTTCTTCTTCTTCTGTTCTACTTTGTGCTCTGTTTTATGCTTTATCATCTGCTTTATGCTTTGTTTTCTGGTTCGTGTGAATTAACTGTTATGTTTTTTTTTGGTTGTTGATTGTAGTATCTATTATTTGCTTCTTGATTCAAGAATTGAAACATTTGCTTAATATGTTATTTTTAATGAGTTTTTAGCTATTTATCTATGCCTATTTTTTTTTTTTATTTATGTGTTAAATTGCGCTTCACATGAAAAAAGCGCGCGGTTCGCTTCGCGCTTCTCGCTTCGGTGAAGCAAGGCCTCGTCGCTTTTTTGTGCTTAACGCTTTCCAAAACACTGATGATAACTTAAACCGACATAATGTGGATTAGGACTAAGTATGGACCGTATACATTTTCGAAAAGCAATCGATGGACGAAGAAGAGACAAGTCCGCAGTAGGAGTAGGGTTGGGTGCATGACGTGAATCAGCTGGGCTTGATGCTGGAAGCGGATGATGACGAGAAGTCAAGAGTGGTGTTCCTATGGCTGGGGATCTAGGAGGAGCAACACTAGATTCCTCAACGGTTGTGGTTGAGAATGTAGGAGGAGCTATAAGTGGTGGAGTTGGAGCTAGAGCTAGAGCAAGAGTTGGGGCATTAGGTCATGGAGCTGTGGAGGAAGATGAAGGGGAAATAGTAATTGAATCTCCAAAAGATGAAACTGGTAGCACCTCAGAAATGGCTAAATGACCACCTAGGCATGTGAAGTGTGGATGAGTTTCAAAGAAGGTTACATCAGCAGACATAAGGCACCGGTGGAGGTCAGGTGAGTAGCATCGATACCCCTTTTGCGTTCTCGAGTAACCTAGAAGTATACACTTAAGAGCTCGGGGAGCTAACTTATCTTTTCCTAGAGTAAGGTTATGAATAAAACATGTGCTCCTATAAACACGAGGTGTAAGAGAGAACAAGGGTGAGTGAGGAAACAACACAAAGAATGGAACTTGATTCTGGATAGTTGAAGATGACATACGATTAATAACATAACAGGGTGTGAGAACTGCATCCTCCCAAAAAACGCAACGGAACCTGATGAGTAGGGTACGAGCAGTCTCAATGACATGCCTATTCATCCTTTTCGCTACCCCATTTGTTTGACATGTGTATGGACTAGATGTTTGATGAATGATCTCATGAGAGTTTATAAACTGCTGAAATGAAGAAGACAAATACTATGGGCATTATCACTATAGAATATGCGGATAGAAACCCCCAAATTGATTTTGGATTTCAGCGTGGAAGCTCTGAAAATAGAAAATAACTCAGATCGATTTTTCATCAAGAATATCCAAGTGCACCTGGAATAATCAACAATGAAACTAGCAAATTAGCAGAATCCCAAGGTAAAACTGACCCGACTAGGCCCCAAACCTCTGAATGAACTAAAGTGATATGTGACTGCTCAATTATCACGACGCCGAGGGAAATGGGAGCGACTATGCTTATTGAGCTGGCATGACTCACACTCTAGAGTAGACAAGTGAGACAAACCAGGTACTATTTTCTGAATTTTTGATAAACTGGAATGTCGCAACCATTTATGTAATAAATGTGGTGAATCAGTAACAGAACAAGCTGTTGATGTGGGTTCATGTGATTTAGTAAGGATAAGACAATAAAGTCCATTTGATTCACGTCCGATACCAATGATCCGTACCGTACTGCGTTCCTGTATAAAAACAAGGTCATCAAGAAATAAAACAGAACATTTAAGTGACTTGGCTAAGCGACTAACCGATATGAGATTAAAAGGACTATCGGGAACATAAAGAACTGAATTCAAAGGTAAAGAAGGAAATGAACTTGCTTGACCTATTCCAGTTGCACGATTTGAGACCCATTGACCATTGTGACCGTTGGAAGAGATTGAGAATAGGAAATAGTAGTGAAAGCAGATTTATACTAGAAATATGATTAGAAGTTCTTGAATCAATAACCCAATTACTGGGAGAAGATGATTGCGAGACACAAGTAACGCTATTACCTGTTTGAACATCAGTAGCAATCTCAAAAGATGTCTGTTTACATGCTTTGTACTGAAGGAACTCTATATTTTCCGATAAAGAAATCATCTGGATTGAATTCAATGCATTGGATCCAACGGATTGTGAGTCAAAGGCTTCTAATACAAATAACATTATAATGTTCTCATCGGAAAAATCAGAAAATTTACTGAAATCACTGTTCACTCCGGAAAAATCGCTG